ACGCGACGACGAACGAACTCGGCTACCACGAATCATCCGATTTAACCACAGTGGACTGTTGTTTGTCGCGCTTGTGCGATCTATGCACGGGAACCTTTCTGCTTGACCAATTCAACGACAGCCCGTCGTCATCGTCCGACAGAATTATCGCGAAAGTAATATTATCCGCATATCGGGCAGATATCTTGATTTCTTTGTTTCGTGCACAAGTTTTGAAGCAACAGTGTGACGCGCGCGCGATCAACGGCCACGCGAGTTAAGCCGTCCGCCCGTGTGCTCCGCTCGATTTCCCTATCTCCTTTCGTTGGAATGAGACTCCAACGACAGCCTTGATTTCGCGCCAATACTCCAACGACTACATCGTAACGAAGGATGTAAACGTGTTCCGGCAGTGACGTATGCAAATCTTTCCGGTGTTTACCCGTGTCGTTTTATCTGTGAAAACAATAATAATCAGTGCAGCCGAGAATTGCTCTCCGACGGCCGACGTGATAAACCGTGTGTCGATTCTGAGCAGACAGCAGCGACGCAGCAGCAACAGCGATAATATCCGTGACAACCAGAGATCAAGTGATACGTCGTGGTGATACAAATCAGTTTTCAGTAGAAACGTGATCGTGAATCTTGTCCGTCGGGAAACAGAAATAATCTGTTGTTTCGTGTCGTATATCGGTGAAGTTTCATTTATCCGTCTTTGATATCGTCGACCAAGAGAAACTTATTCCACACTATCGTCGAATATCCGCAAACTTAACATAAATAATAGTGTCGAACAGAGAATCTATGAAAGACCACGTGTTGGAAAAAGCGGACTAACTCGAGCGTATAATGTGGCGAAACTGACGCTACGAAGAGACACGCTCCGTGGGTGCTTGTTTTGGTTTGTGAGTATCAACGGAACATCCGGCGTTGTGACCGCGACGATGAGGAAGCACGTGTGTCCGGCCGTAGCCGTAGTCCTGCTGCAGCGTTCAATCGCGCGTGCTGAGCTCTGCTGACGCTCGCCCCGATTTCTCACCATCATACAGTTTCTCGTGTCGCCGGTCGACTCGGATCCGGGGATCGTCGAGGACCGACGGAGCCAACAGCACGCGTTAATAGTGGTTAAAGTGCAGTAGAACAATCGCCAAGTGCTGTGGGCCCGTTTTATTGCAAACCGTCGGCCGCGTTTCATCGTTGGACAATACTGCGATCCATTATCGTGACGTGACGAAGCTAAGAAACAGAAATTTGGAAGACGATAGCGAATTACTCGAGAACGGACGTTTGCTGGCGACGGTCTAGCGTCGTTCTCTCTTGGTCGTTCTGTGCATTCGACGAAGGCAATAATCCGCGAGTCCTCTGAGTGTGACGAACGGGAAACGGGCAAACCGATCGCCCCGATAAGGCGAATCGAAAAGTGGGGAAACCAGTGTGTGTGAAGTGTTCGAGGTTACTTGCTTATACTGTGGGAAAATACAGCCGCTACGGTGGCTCAGCACGCAGAGTTCCCCGGCGCGGCCAGGGCGTTCATGGCGCAGCCAAGGGTACGTCGATTTATAGATGATTTTACTATGTTCAGATCACGCGTATTTACCTACTCGATCAGAACTCGATGAAAAACTTAGGTGCGTGATTAGAAATAAAAAGAGCTCGCGAGTGAACCGCGGTACGCGATTCGTGGATAATTGTTGCCTTGCGTAATGTGATTTATAGTACCGTACGATTCTAGGTGTTCGCTATGTAGGTATCTAAATAATAGCCGCAATACGCATGAACTTGAAAATCGTTGGCCGCCAATAGGTGCGCGGCTACGACCTTACCCTAGCGATCGACCGGAGATTTCGACGCTCAAGGGACTATAAATCTTTCGTATAGCGTAGCGTCCAGATAGATTTACCTTGTGACGTAACCGTTTGGGCATAGGATATTCGTTTGTAAGAGACGTGACAGTGTAGGTTTCGAGGTGCACTCGCAGAATCCCGCGAAAGTGGTCCATAGATCGGGTTAAAACGAGTTCGTAACAGGCAACAGGACGCTTGCTGTTTTGGACGCGTCGTATCGTACGCGTCGTATCGTACGCTACTCGAACTGGTCTCGATAGGACTTTGTTGTTTAACTGGGGCTTCGGTGTAATCGAGCAACTTCGAAGCTCGAGGCTCAGTAGGTTCACGTAGGCAAAATCGTGGTAGGTAGCAGGACTCGAAGGGCGTCTCGAGGGATCGATTCATAAGCGTGTAATTTTATTGCCGACTCTTTCGACGTATATCTCCGTTGTAGCAGTGAAATCGACAAAATTTCTTGAATATCGCTGACGGAGTAGAAAATCGTAATTGCTTAGAAATTGGTAATACTCGTGAGACAAACAGTATATTTAGGAGAAACTAGGAAAATCTGTCGTTTGTCGAGCAAAACGGGTCGCGTGCAAGTGTAGTGTCGTCGATCCGGAATCCCTGTTCAAGTGGTCCGTTCCAGAGAAACTCTCTCGAGGTAGACAACCCGAAATTATCATTTTACGTGAATATCGTGCACGGCTGGATTGACATGCCATCGAGATGCACGAATCGATATGTGAGAGCGTCTGTTGGACGCCCGCGGATAGCCGCCGTTCGAGGAATTGATTACGATTCTTGTCGTCGACTGGAATTTTGTTCACGCGACGATCATTCCGACCCATTGCTCGCTGTGGATAGTATTCCCCTTGATTTTCACTTGGCGGCAGTCTCGAAACTCTGGCTGGCGCTGGTCTTCACTGTCCGTCGGACGTGAAACTGCGTCCACTCTGCCAGATGTCCTCTCCTTTTATACCTCGACTTTTATGTCTCCCTATGGGAAACCTCTCGAACCTTTTCAACGAACGTAGGAATTTCCTTTGCTATAGAACCGTATTTTTAGGGAAAATCAGTGAAAACCATAGGATTTTTGGAGTAAAATTTCCACCGTGATTTACGAGAAGTTTCTTCTATCGTGAGATCTTATTTTTAGTGAAAATTAGTGGAAATAATTAGTGGAATTTTCGCGACAAAGTTTTAACCAATCTGATAGAACCTTCCATCGTTGTGACATTTTATTTTCAAGGAAAATTAATGGAGATAATCGGTAGAATTTTTCCTGCGAGGTTTAAAGCTATATGATAGAACTTTGTTTCATAGCGAAATTTTGTTTTGAGTGAAAATTAGAGAAAATAACGTGGAGAATTTTTGAACTAAAGTTTAAAGTATCGTTCCGTGGCCTATAATTGGTAGAAATTTCTTTCATCATGAAATATTATTTTTAGTGAGAATACCGGAAAATAACCAGTAGGATACCTGGAGCAAAATCTGAACCGTGGTTTAATCTATTCCATAAATTCCCATTTGTTGAGATGAATATTCCGAGATAATAGTACAATTTGAAGAACTCTTTGGAAGAAAGACATCCAAGTTCGTCTGCGAGTATTTCATTAACGTTCCATTCATGCAGCGTTTAACGCACGAAAATGGCTATCGTTAAGAAAGAAAAGGTTTCCCTTAGAACGATAGCGCCAGATGTCGAGATAAAATTTATCAGCGGGTACGTCTAGTCGATCATCGTGTCATGATTTCGTCTAGCATAATGTTACTACTCTTGTAAAGGGTTAATCGGTCAGATTTTCTCTGACGTTTCTCAAATTCCAGCGACGATTACGGTTTTATCGGACACGGCCAAGTGAAAACGGTATCGGTGTCGATAAAGAGCTTTACGAGATCGTCGATAAGCGACGATTGCTCGCGTGCCGGTCGATTTTCAAGTGACGGAACTTACCTCTCGTTCAGATTCTACCGTCGGTCTCCTCTTCCCTGTCAGTATCGTATCTCGACAAAGTGCTTCTGTCGATTTTCCATGTGTCCAATCAGTAGACGTTGCTTATCGAGCTAAATATTTCCTTTTTAACGCTATCGCTCCATAATTTCCCCCTTTTATCCAGCGTTTTTGCGCAAAATTGCTTTGTACGAAATATCGTCTTACGTAAAAATGGTTCAGAAATCGGACGTCTTCGAGAAATTCGACACGTTTCGAATATTTGAAACGGCGATCGATATTTATTGTGTAATATTTGTGTGGCTCGCTTTGTAAATGCCAGGGTTCTTCGAAAAGTGAATATTAATCAAAAATTTGTGCCACGTTTCGATAATAGATCATAGTTTGAACAGTGGCGTTTGGAAAAAGCGGCAGTGAGTCGTCTCGAATGCATAATTCGAAATTCGACATCGGACACAGCCGGTTGTGTCTGAGCAATTTCGTGGACGAGGAGACGAATGAATTCTCATGTATACGCGAGCAAGGTGAGGTTAGTTTCCGTAAAGTACGAGCGAACGATTTGTTAATATTGCAAATGTTACCTTGAGGCGTTTCGATTAGTCGTACATTATTCAGAAATATTATTTGAGCAAAAGTATGTTTGATGTGTTCCGGTCTGAATTATGTATCCAGCATTCTAATATATTAATTCGATAGAAAACTTCACCTAGAAGGCGCACCGATATTCCAAGTACGAGTAGAAGGAACGTTCTTTATTAATCTCTCTGACGCATTCGTGCTTCATAAACCTTTCATAACCCGTAATATGATCATAGCCTGAAACATTTAGTAAAAATTCAAGTCGATTCGAGTCAAAATTCAATTCGACATTTGTATTACTGTATTCGTCTTTCGTTTCAAACACTGTTAAAAGGAAATATATATTTTCGACTTGTCCGCCGCCATCTTGGTCATCACTGACCGCCTCCACTAACTTTAATTAAGCCGTACACACCACGTTGCCACTTATATCCGTCAAACCGCGACCCTGATCGATACCAGAAAAAAACTACCCTAGCATCGAGTGTACACGAGAGAGTACACTCTAGCTCAAACATCATTGCAACTCTGTTACGCAATCTGTTTGTCTTTCGAATCGCGAAAAATGATCCACTTCGAACTAGCGATCGAAACATTCGATGAAATCTCTTCTTCCATCAGCCATCGACTTTTGCTACACAACCGACGACCCAAATATCTTTGAAATTCAAAGAAATGTCGACAAAAAATGCTAAAAGATGCATCGAATTCACGGTATCCGAATGTCTAATCAGATGTTTTACGTATTGTTAAAGTACGATTGTAACGGTTAAACTAACTTTGCCATCGAGAAGAACGCAAGAAACGATAAAAATCGCGATGGTGATGTCGACACGGAGGACGGAAGCAGAAGGGGAGGCTTCTGTGCGTTTAATTGCGAGTCGGGCGAGCGTGGAAATAATGAGAGCCGCGGATTGGCTGGTTGTACGAAATAACACGGTGCATCGACGTGGCGTCTCAATCGCTTATCTTATGGCTGTGCGCGTTTTACCGCTCAATTTTCCTTCACTGCTCCTTGCTCGAAATTGTCAAGATACCAAGATGCGTGCATGCACAGGTTTCGCGTGCGAATCGCTCTTTTCGTTCCATCGCCGAGCTCCGAATACCGCGTAAACGCAATTCGTGCGTTGCATCCGGGTCTATCGAGCTTATCCTATCATATTAAACCAGTTCGTCGGTAATTTTATTGCGTATGCTTCCTCGAGTCGTGGCAGCGACGCTGTTGCCGTGATTAATGCGCACGAGACTTACAACGTTCCGACGAAATGAATTCTCTTTTTTTTTTTTCCTTTCTTTCTCTTTCCCCTTTTGGTTGTTTCTGGAAAAAATCGCCAGCCAGAGGGGAATTTCGAAAGTGTTTCGTCAATATGTTCGTGAATTTCGTGTTTTGGCGAATCGGTGCGCGCCGGTGTGCCGAGCGTTTTCGGGATTAAAAATTCCAAGGTTCGGTGAATAGCTGCGACGAGCGCGGATTTTTGTCCACGCGGTGGCGAACGAACCGTGATTATGTATTTATGGGTATCCATCAATCACTTTCGCTCTCCCGATCGCCGCGGATATCGGCCTTTAGCCTGTGGATTAAAGTCGTATCGATTTCTCGCGCGTTCCATTCGCTGCCCTCGACCAGGCGATATTTTTTTGTCCTCCTTTTTTCTTTTTTCGCCAGGTTTCTGTAGGTTTTTCGACGGACCCCCTTCTGGTAACGGTATACGGGTCGGAGGAAAACGTTCGGCTGTTGAAAAAGAAAGTTATCGAGGGATTTCTGTCGCCTGACTGGTTATTTCGGAGTGAAATTTAGTGGGGGTCTCTAAATATCGTCTGCTTCCATGTGTCTTGCTTGGATGCCAGAAAATATTCCAGCAGATGTATACACCGTCCTGTCGTTTGTTTTCACCGTCGAAAAAATATTCAGGTCGCGGGAAAATTAAGAATATTGCGTTCTGTAGCATGTTCGGTTCTAAACATCAACGGGCGTCAGCTTGAATAATGCCCCTTCCTTGGAATTGTACCTGTACGTACTTGTAATTCTAATCCAGTTCTTGCTTCATTCTCAATTTCAGTTCTGTACTGATATATGTCAAAATTTCTTAATCGTAGGTACTGATTACTTTCGAGTAATCAGCCATTTTTTTTTCATTATGCCACAATCTTCGTTGCGAGATAGACATGCTTCATTGCTATCTCAAAG